AATATTTTAAGAGCATTTTACTAAGACCGCGTGATAAAATGTCACTTGCAACTTTTTATTTCTGTCGTAAACGCAAACTTTTTTAGTTTTCCTTTGCTGTCCCGATATATTGCGCAAAATCATCTTGCCACGAGAATAAATGTGATCTTTGATGATAAAATTTCTTCCCATGTTTGATCATGACATGTCAACTACATTATCTTAAAGAAAATTTCATTCATTTCTTATGCATGATCTCCAACATCGTTGACATTTCAATTAAGTCCGTTTGCTTATGGTTTTATAAAATGAACTTTGTCTAACTTTATTTTTTCTGTAAAGAGACTGCAGTTTGACGATAATGTCAACAATAAAGTAAAAGGTTTGAACTCGGGAGTATTGTTATATGTTTGTAGATGTAGATCGTCCAGGTTAGTAGAGTCCTGAGAAGGACTATTTTTCTGTTGTTGACTGACGTTTCGACAACCTTAGTGGTAGTCATTTTCATCAATGTCAACAATTTTGGAAATCATGCTGGAAAACTTAACTTCATCAATTAAAGATGGCAATTGAAAAACAATAATGAAGCAAACCAACAGCAATACTTGTACAACGAAATTTTTTTATTGACTTTTATCTTTTCACACAAAAATAGAAAAGGCAAACTAGTGTTTGTTATTGCACCTAATATTATGTTTTGTTAAAACGTCATGTAATCATAATTTTCTTACAAATTTATTATGTGCAGAATGGTTTTAATACTTCACGTGGCACGTTTTTTGTTACTATTTTACACTTAAAGCAAGTTGTTAGTAATTTAATCAATTCTATCTTGCACTAAAAGCATTTTTTGATACATTTTAATTATTGCGTTTTGATTTACAAATCATCGATGTTAGTAAGTTATTAACTGAGACAAAGACAGCCCAATTGTCACTTTTGTTACATGAATATTTGCGTCTTCATGCATTTGAGAAATGTAAATTTATAATAAAGCAATGGTACCTTTGCCATATGTTTTTCTAGCAAAATTAAAAATTTGGCTGTCTTTGTCACTGATTGTTAAAAGTTAAGTCGTATACTCCATAAGAAAATGACTTCATGATTTACGTTCAACATCGTGATAAACAATTTAACCATTGAGATTGAAGACTCCAAACCATGTGTTACTGCACGAACAGGAAAAGTTAATAAAATTCGAGAATGTTTTGCAATATAGAGAGAAAGAAAACAAACGAAAATGTTGCACACGAAAAGATGTTTAAAGACACGTTTTTAACATTAAATGAAAAATCGATGTCAGAGATTTTTAACGTTTGAACAGTTTTACTTTAATGGATATCAATGAATATTACGAAATTTCCATAAAAAGAATAAGTGACGAATTAGATTCATTTCAAATCAGTAAAGAAAAATTTCAGTCACTTTTAAATACATTAGCAGTTGCTAAAGAACCCCTTCCTTGGGAATTAGTTGAGAACATACATAGACAATAAGGTGAGGAGGACATGATGATGTTAGCCAAAAGAGACGTTTGTTAACGTTGTCAATTTTTTTGTTTGAAAATTGGCAAACAACGAAACAATTGATTAAAATCTTTGACACAGTGTGTTTTGTTTCAAAAAGTGATATAACTGTTCTCTTTAGTCTCAGTCAAGAATTGTTAACAAACAGAAAAAGGCATTAAAAGACTTAGTCCATTACAGGTTCAACAAAATAAACTTCGATATATTCTTCAAAAAACTCTTTGCCCGAATCTGTCTAAATGTTTGTTCAAGAATATGTCGAAGAATATGTATAAATTATTAAAATATTGGTATTTCGTTCGATTACTGTTATAAGGTTTTGGGTTTAGCTTGTCAAAGGTCAGCACGAACGTATTCACTTCTTCCACAATTGAGAGGGTCAATTAATTATAAATTTTAACAATAAGTATGGGCAGCGCAGTGTATTGTGGTTCGTAAAGATCTTGACTGGATTTATTTTGAAGAAAGTAGAACATTTTTGAAAGCCAAGCTCATGTATATGCAGTTAGGTAAGTTAATTTGTATTGTTGAAATTTATAGTTAAAGAGGCTCTTATCTATGACATTGCTGTCTAAATAATTTTAAATTCACTCTATTATTCATTCTGCACTTTACGCTGTCTTTAACTACTATACATTCACTATAGTGTATGAGTGCTGAAATGAATTTAAACGAGAAGTTTTAAAGCAATTACATAGAAAACCAAACCACGTGCACCACTAAATGTGAAGAAACATGTGAAGAAGTAAACTCTACAATAGAATTCGACTTCATAATGGACATTCAATTTTGTGATAAACAAGTGTCCATTGATTCTAAACGCTCCAAACTATGGTTATTGCACGAGAATAAAAGTTAACAAAAGCTATAAAGAGTTTTGCAAATATAAAGAAAGAACAAAAGCTACAGTGCTGCATGTGAAAGGATGTTCGAGGACACATCTATGACTTTTACTGAGAAATTTTAAATCAAGATTTTTTGCTCTATGAACACCTGTGCTTTATGAATCAATCGTATCATTTATGCGCTGCGACAAAAGAGAACTTAGTATTGTAGGACAAGCGAAGCCCATGAACTTTATTAAAGTGTATTTGTATTAAAAAGTGTTAAACAATTAAAAGAACATTATTCACTCAAAGATCAGTGAGCATACTGGAAATGGATGCCCAACGAGATTTGATATGTAATAATTTATAGCATATTGAAAATTTTCACTTTCTAAATTCAAACCAATAGAATGACTAATTTATCTACCAAAGCACTTTGTGGCATAGTTTTCTTTTTTTGTCAAATCACGAAGTTTCATCTGCGAACAGAACTGGAAGACAAAGGCTCTGTGATTTTACTGTGATATTGGTTATTGACTTTGTTGACAACATTTTTAAAACCTGAAAGTGAGAAACTGGTTATCCTCACAACCGTTTTCAAGGGAATTTCAAATGTTGTTAAAAAACTGTAAACAATTAAAGTGACTGAACATTTGTGAGAGAGAATAGAAGAATGTCGCATGATTACAAAGGTGTTGTAGCCAATGGGCTATCGTTCAGCATTTTTGTCGATGCCTCAACCTGGAGTGACAGTTTCATGTCTACTTTGTTTCATATAAGTAGTATGTCTAGACTACAGTAACATCAATATGTGAAAGTAACGTCAATCTACAACGATGAGAAGTATACGACACTTTGAACGTTTTTCTCAGGCAGTTAAGTTTTTTTAGGATTTTTCAATGGTTATTTTTGAAATTTTCTATGGATTCTTTATATTTGTTGTCAATAAATGTAGTGTAGCCAGTTTACTCATTAAGTTTTACTGTGCAAATTTAAAAATTGAAAATTAATGTGACCGTATTCTAGAGAAATGAATGATGATGATGCTCAAAAATTTGCATAGCGGGACTAACACGAGTGGGCTGGGTACATATTAGTCAATGATTTATTGTTGCATGGAACTATGTATATGTGATATTACTGTCCATTTAAAAGAAAGAAATTGTTCATATTGTAGGACAAAAACAGGCAGTTGATATGTGTATCAAAAATTTTGCAAAAACATATAATGAAATAATTTTAGTTGATTTTATTAACAAGTATTTGCATGACTTTTATTAATTTTGCACTGTAATATAGAATGTAGTCATAAAGAAATTGTTTTGTTGAAAAATTATTGCGTGTTGTGTGTGTGTTTGAATTATGTGACTCCAGTGACCTCTGACCTAAAATGCTGCTATAAATTATTTCATATTTATCACTATCGGCTGTTAAACCAAAAGACGTGCTTTAAAGAAGAAAATGATCTTAATTTTATCGACATCAAATTTTTGATATTTTTCTAGATAGGACTGATCCTTTTTTTATGAAATATAAATCTTTGTCAAATGTTTCCAACAAAAACAGTATAAAGATTTTGTTTTTTTACACGAAATAGAAAACAATAAAATTTGAGTGCACGCTCCATATTAACTAAGGGAAATATGAATATGCTCAATCCTTCCCCCCTAACTTTTTTAAAGATGTTAAATTGTACAGTTGCAGATAATAGGTAGGTATGTGTTGTTCGTTCATTGTGTAAAACTTCTGCTGTTGTCCTTTCTTTTTATAATCAAATAGTCTGTGCTTTAGGTTACTAGTTCGAGCAGGTTTGGTTCTGCTGGTGTAATGGTTTGCGTTGGTAAAGATATTTTCACGGTTTTTGCCATCTGTAGTGGTGAAGGTCTCTGCGATCCTTCTTCTTTTGTCGTTTCTGGAAAGTGGTTTTTGGGGAGCCATGGATTGCTGCTTATTGGTGAGATTTGGTTGAGATAGTTTTATCCGGTGTATATTTGGTCATGATGAACAGTTCATTTGTATTGGAGCATATGGTTTAATGTTCTTCAACTGATGTTAAATAGTGAAAGCATTTCTGCTCCTCTAGTGATTCTTTAAATCTGTAAACTTTGATGTGATGTGGATTGAGTTGCAGAACTTTGATGATGATGATCCCAATTTTCATCCATTCTGTGGGAAGTGGCCCTGTTTGGTTTTTATATCTAATATCCTATGCTTTTTCATGTGTTAAGAAAGGTGAGCTTCTTGGGTGTGCTTGTGGCAGTTTTTTTAAGGCTCCTCTAAAATCTTAGTGTACAATAACTTATGTTTTTTATAGTGTTACTCATAATTTTTAGCCAAGCCATAAAAATCAACAAATCTTACTCCTCGCATTTAATTTTCAACTGTCGCATTAAGTTTTTTCCTGGGTGTTATATTAGTTGTAACCAACTAGGTTATCAATGAAGGTACTTCACAGTAAACCAATATTGTTCTTTTTGTGTTTTTGCTTATCATCTATGTCATTTACACTACAGTCGAACAAGTTGATTGTATTTTGTCATTTTATTTGGTTACTTTGGTGTGGACTCTAACATATATATACATATATACATATACATTTGCAAAAAATATTCCATGTCGATTTTTAAGATAGAAAAAGTTTTTAGGACATTTACAAGTGGAAAATCAATTGGATCTCCACGTTTTCCTGCACGTGGTTTAATTATACCCAACCGAAACTAAGTAGGACAGCTGGTGTAGTTTCTGGAAGTTGGTATGTAACATTTCATATACTACTACTATACCTTAAATAGTTAACGCAGGCATATTTATAACAGATAACAAATGCCTACGTCAAAATCAAACTTTAGTATGAAGGAGCGTAGTGCTGAATGCAAGTTTAAAATACTTCGAGATGATCTCATCTGTGACATTATCATATGTGGACTTAATGATAACCGTCTTCGTGAACGTCTTCTTCGAGAACCAGAATAAACACTACAGAAAACTATACAAATGGACATGCTGCTGAGAAAACAACGGGACAAACGAAGGAACTTAAAAAGGAAATTAAAAGGCAAAGAATATATTGACAGTATACAGAAGAGAAAATTCACGAGAAACAAAAAGAAAAACATTGGCAGAGAATCATTCAGTTATTATAAATCCCTACTAAAAGACTGTAAATTTTATTCTTACACTCACAAGCGAGGGAAATGCAAGACTTATGGAAAGCAAGATAAAAGCAAGACGATCAACAATTTCAATCACCGCTATAGTGAATTTGCAGGATTTTATGCCAGTTCCTTTGTTTGGTATTTAATATAGACGACGAGTTTTTTGAAAATAGACATGTTTCGACATCTCATGATGCCATCTTCAGTATGAGTGAATAAATAAATAAATACAGGGTTTATAAAAGTATTATGATACAGTAACAATGAGAGATATAAATTTGGATAAGTTATAAGAATAATGAGGAAGTGAGATAAATTAATGGGGAGCGTGTTACAAAATAATCAAATCTTTTCTATTACTTTCATCAACTGTAGCACCAACTTTTAAATAAAGAAGCCCTAGTACCTCTGGTCTGTGGCAAACCATGAGGTATAGAATCTGGCAAACCATGGGGTATAGAATCTGTATTGAATGAGTTATTAGCAGAAAATACACATCGAAAAACTTCGCTCTTTTCACATGCAACCATCAACTGATGAAGAATATCATTAGCCCAAAATATTTGCAACATATCACGTCCCCCCTCCCCTTACAAAACAAAGTCTTGGTGCTCATGCAAGCGGAAGTAGTCGTAAAAAACGTGATTTAACTTTTCTTCATTAGTCTTGTGTTTTGTCATCGTTTATGTGGTTGTTTGGTTGTATGAGCTATGAAAATTATATGTGTGTATGAAATTTATGAAATAAAAGAGAAAAGAAATCGTCAGAATGTGCGAGCGAGCGATGCAATTTTCAAACGTCGCATGCTTCATGATTCCGTAAACACATCGTCATTAATGTCTGTAAAACGTACAGTGGTAAGTAAAGTTTTTTAATGATTTATAATATAGATTTTGAACAAAATTATCTGGCGAGTGCATTTTATTTTATATTTGGTCATAAATGAAACAGTAAATTTGAACATTTTATGAATTATGCTGTAGAATGTTGTCATTGTTATTGGGGTTTAGTTGAGAAGGACCTAAAAGGCAACACATTTGTTTTTTTTATTCATTTTATTTTAAATTTTAATTTATCAATGCTGCATTCGTTTATGTGTTAAATGAGACAACACATCTTTGAATATAATGGTAGCAAAATATTTAAACAAAAGCAACAACCTCAGTTTGGATTTAATCAAATTAATGCCTAATACAATTATATTTTTCAAAACTTTGAAATACTTTGAGACTTATTATAAAGTTACCAGTCACACAACATCTCTTACTAATCTTGCATTCTGAAATATCTGTTGGAACATGGCATTTTTTGCTTCTTCACAAAACACTGTATGTGTTGGTTTTATAAATTGTTATATGTATGTATGTATGATCTCAAAAGCACCAGATTAATTATGGATTTAAATTAAACGACAAAATTTTTTAATATAAACTTGTTTCGACTTTCCAGTCTACTGAAGTTGACTTAATGTAAGTTGATGTTTATCGCAAATTACATTTTATTGTCTTTCATGTTTATAAATATTGTGCTTTAGAACATGTTTCTCTTGCTGGAAACTCTTTAAGACAAAATTCTGTTACTCAAGAATTTTAAAATGAAACGAATGAACTAAAGACTGCTAAATCTTATGTCAAAGACAGTAAATATTCTGAAGAAGGTATGTAAAAATAACAAATTTGTAAGAAATTTATAATGTACAAACTGATGAGTGGCAAACATTAGACATTTTTTAAAGAAATGAGTTCTACAAAATCAGCATAGCCCGTTGATAGATGTTTTGAAAGCAGACTGGGATTTTTTCTCTGTAGAACAGAGCATGTGCTCAATACTACCAACAATTACAAGAGATACTATGTAGTTATGTACAAGCTTAAACCGTTAGCTACTTATATATGAACAACAGTGAGATATTAATTATCGTGCTAATTTCACATTCTTTGCAAAGTTTTCATGTAGCTAATATTTTTCATTGTATATTTAGCACACCTATCTAAAATTCACAGACAACGTATGTAGTTCTGGGTATGTGGTTATTGAGCAAAAACATGTTTAGATCACAACTTACGTTCATTCGTATGCAATATAAATTTCTTCATGACATGGTGTATGTTGAACTTTCATCTTTGAAAAATGTTGCTTAAAAAAGAGTGTCGCTATTTGTTGGCAACGTTAAAATTTAACTATTACGAATTTGCAATAAAAGTAAAATAATCACTCATATATTGATATATACTATTATTCCCATTTTAACTTAGGAAGAATTAGTATAAGAATTGTTTTCCTATCGACGATGTAAGTTTTCTTTCAACGAAAAATTGTTCTTTATTCCATATTTGTATAGTGATTTACTGTAATCCAAGAAAACAAAAGTATTTTAAAAGAACTTTCTCTATTACAGCTTTACCATGTTTCCTGCCATTAATGAGATAACCACTATAAAACATGGACAGATTTACTGAGGAGGGGTACAGGGTGGGGTACGCAAGCATAAGATTTAAATTCCCAAAATAAATTGCCCACCTCTGTCGGAAACATTTTAACTCCCTCAATTTTTAGCGAAACAAATCAGTAGTACAGTTGAACTGAGTTTTTCTGGGCAAGGTTTCAACTTTCTTTAATATCTTTGGTGGCTGCACTACCAGACTTCCCCTAAAATCTACACTTTTATTGTCGTCACCTTACCAATTGACTATTAAATTAGCACTTTTAACTTATAGCATTTTCTTGCATGTAGCATTTACTGTGAAATAAAATATTTCTCTACCGAAGTCTTATGCTGTATATTGTGGAATAATTCTTGTGAAACCAAAAATTCTTTTATCAATTTGACTAATTTTCGTCAATCATTGAAAGAAATTAGGTTCCACAAGATCGAAATATCTTCGAGTCTTCGACAGAAGATAAAAAACATTTAATAAACATTCGCTCCTAGAAATGTTGGGACATAACACTTCCCAAATCTTAATTTATTGTTCCATGTTTCGTTGTACTAATCACTGCAAAGTTTGATGAATTTTTGATATTCGTTTTTTAAGTAACAATAGTTGATATATGTCATTCTACAATTGTTTTGATGTTGAAATGAACAAACGCGCGCTATGCATAATGGTTGTTGGCAAATTCTATTTCAAAAATGAAAAGAGTTTATCTGTTGAAATTCAATTTTATTCTTATGGTGTCGACAGCAGTAGACTGCATTTTATTCTATCGCTTAGAGTCATCAGTCAACATATTTATTTGAGAAATGACAAAAGGCTACTCTCCTTAACGGCTTTCACTTATATTATGCACCACGTCTGGGTCCGCAAAGAATGATGGGGTTTTGTTACGACATAATGACGCATTTGCACATGTGATATTGTATAGTTCGCAATCTCTTACTTCGTCATGATCATTCTTGTTGAACAGAAATTATGCTCGTTATTGACTTTAATGCATGGCTATAAGCACGGTACTTATTACGTAGTTGCAACTCTAGATGATTTGTTGTCGATGTTTATTGAAATTAAATAATATTTTGAAGTCAAAATTGACCAATTCATCTAGTTTGACGTTTTTTTCTTTATACAGTGAATCATGAGCGCCGAGGACGACGTTGATAACGTTGATCAACAAGAATTAGACACTGTTTTATGTACTGAAGAAGGTAACATGTTTGAAATATTAAAGAAATTTTATTGAATTATCAACATAGAGATTAGAGTCCAACAGATCGTTTCAAAGATAACCATAAGCGTTCGATTTCTTTGATATTTATTAAATCAAAGCAAGTGACGTTTGTCGTTTTGTCTCGACTCAAGATATCTTCAAATGAGATGTAATTACTTAGATAGTTAAGGTGTGAGGTTTGTGTGGATGTGTACTTACAGAGTAAAGTTAATATTGAGTATTGTAAGGAAATGTAAGAAAGATTGTACAAGATATAAGGGGGGGATGAGTAATGGGGGGAAATATACCATGAAAAGAGCTTAAGGGGACGTGCACTCAACTATTCCAAATACCAATTTAAGAGTTTTTAAGATCTGAAGAGAAAAAAGGGAGTTATAGATAGTTGCTTCCTGTAAAAGGGCACACAGCAAAGTAAAAGTAATAAACAGAAACTTTTGAGCATCGTAGTAAGTCTATGTAATTAGTCTGAGATGTCTTGAGTCAAGACGAAACGTCCCTTCCTTTTTTAAGTAAATACTGAAAAAATCAAATGCCGATGGCTTTCTCAAACACGATCTTTTGGGATGTTATCTTTATATTTAGAATTTAATTCACACCTGGCACCTCAATGGGAATATTTAAAATTTTATAAATTCTTATTAATTGTTGTCCACTCATATTTACGATGTGTTTGTATATATTTCTCAAACTCGTCCATTTTAATAGTTGAATTATTATTTGCGATTTTTTATACATGTGAGTTCAATTTTGTGGTAATGAAAAAGCGGAAAGTTAAAGAAAACATTTGTTTTCTTTGAACAACTTGACCGTCGTTGAGCGATGTTCTTGAGTTCGCAAATGTGCGGAACTCATAAGCCAAGTCCATTGAACTAAACCCTAAACTAACCGAGTAGCCGTGAGCAGTCATAGCCGAAATGGTAAAAAATGCGCGTTGTGCAGTTGGATATTGCGATAATGATAAACACTATCCTGATTATCAAGTTAAGAGGTCTCACGTAGAAAAGTTAGTTTTTCATAAGTGTCCCAAAGATCAAGCACTTGCTGAAATTTGGCGAAAACAAATTGCAAACAGCAGAGCCGATGACTTTAACCCAAAGCCTGGTGCACAAGGTACTTTCATTTGCTCAAATTATTTTCCCTTGGGAAGAAGAACCCCAAATAACTGCGGAACGGATTATCCTTCGGTTATTATGACACCGAGGATTCTGATTCAAGTTTTGATGGAAATCTAGCAAAATCTGAGGCATCTTTACTCCCTGCCCCTTTGGAATTTGAACAGTTGACGAGAGAGTATGATGTAAGGTTTCACACCGGCCACAGTTTTAAGTGTGTATTTGAATACTTGGTTGTTTCTTCTTCTGGCTCTTAAGTCGCCATACATAATAATAAAAATAGCAATGTCACTTTACAAATAATTGGAAATACTAGTAAGAGTTTGCCGTATAACAGTTCCTCGTGATACTTGCTGACTTTGCTGTAGACATGTGCGTGTGTTGCGAACTCAAGAACATCGCTCAACCGACGGTCAAGCTGTTCAAAGAAAACAAATGTTTTCTTTAACTTTCCGCTTTTAGATTACCACAAAATTGGACTCACATGTATGAAAAATCGCAAATAATAATTCGACTATTAAAATGGACGAGTTTGAGAAATATATTTGAAAGAAATGGCCAATATGTATAAGGGTAATTTTTGCGCATTTATTAGTAATATATATGGACGCCATGCGTGACCGCGCGCTCGGCCCAATGTTTTTGCACCCCCTGCAATATGGCTGCGATAACCTTGAAAAGGTCTATTATCAACCTAAAGGTTAGAGTCCAACAGATCGTTTCTAAGATAACCATAAGCGTTCGATTTCTTTGATACTTATTAAAACAAAGCAAGTGACGTTTGTCGTTTTGTCTCTACTCAAGACATCTTCAAATGAGATGTAATTACTTAGATAGTTAAGGTGTGAGGTTTGTGTGGATGTGTACTTACAGTGTAATGCTGATATTGAGGATTGTAAGGAAATGTAAGAAAGATTGTACAAGATATAAGGAGGGATGAGTAATGGAGGGAAATTTACCATGAAAAGAGCTGAGGGGGACGTACATATTCTCCCCTCCCTCCCAACTATTCGAAAGACCAATTTAAGAGTTTTTAAGATCTGAAGAGAAAAAAGGGAGTTATAGATAGTTGCTTCCTGCAAAAGGGCACACAGCAAAGTAAAAAAAATAAACTGAAACTTTTGAGTATCGTTGTAAGTCTATGTAATTAGTCTGAGATGTCTTGAGTCAAGAAACGTCGCTAAATACTGAAAAATCAAATGCTGATGGCTTTCTCAAACCCGATCTTTTGGGATCTTATCTTTATATTTAGAATTCGATTCACACCTGGCACCTCACTGGCAACATTGAAATTTTATAAATTCTTATTAATTATTGTCCACTCATATTTACGATGTATTTGACATGTTTGACGTATTTTTTAGTTGCAACCGATTGTTGAAATTCATATTCCATTGAAATCCTACAGTGGCAGTACGGCTCTACGAACGAACGATTTGTCACTGAATCGAGACAGTAAATATCAATATGCTGCCATGTTGAAGCTCTAGAAATCCTACGGAGGTAATGGATACCCCAAAGGAATGGGTTTCATATGAAAAAACAACACAGTTGAGAGAGCGTTGCTAAATCGATCAGCGTAAAAGGTTCGCAAAAACCTTTGGTGGAAATAAGTAGTTTGACTTCCAATGATTTATCTAATGTCAAATTTTCACATGTTTGTAGCTGTAGATCGTCCAGGTTAGTAGAGTCATGAGATTGAATGTTTTTGTTGTTGTTGACTGACGTTTTGACTTCCTTAGCAGTAGTCATCTTTAAAGTCAAGTTAACTTTCTCAGGACTCTACTAACAATGACGATCTACATCTAAAAACATGTAACGATACGCCTGGGTTCAAACCATTTACGTTATTATAGTTAAATTTTTGTAAATCATAATCGTTGTTATAGTAAAAAATTGTAACCGAGAAACTATTTTAAAATAGCTTGCGCCAAAATTGACGCCAATAGATTGCAATTGGAACGCATAAGGTTAAAATATGGCATATGTTGTTCAAACAAATAAAGTTTCAGGAAATTTAGACGATTCTTACGCGAACTTTCATCTTCCGAATCGTAGATTAATTTGTGTTTTTCCGTTTATATGACATTTTACATAAATCATCATCAATTTTTCTGTTTATAATGATTCAGGTTTTTTGGAAACTGAAATTTATACATAATTGAAGAGAGCTATAAAAAGGTATTCAAAAACGAAAACAAAATAATCTGTGGTTTGGAAACTAACTGTTCGTGTACGCTTTTGCCAAATTCTCTGAAACTTCATTTGCTTGAACAAAGTGTGACATATTTTAATCCTATGTGTTTCAATTGCATTTAGCTTTGTCATTTTTGTGCGTGAGCTACTTCAAAAGCACTTCTCTGTAACACATTCCTCTCTCTAAAAAGGTTATTATTTGAAACAATTTTACTTATCTATTAGGTGAACCATTGGAAGTCCAACTGCCTATTTCCACTTAAAATTTTCGCAAATATTTAGCAAAGTTTTTCGTCACTGAATATTTTTTTGACACCCCCGCACATACATCTCACAGTCACGGCCAACTGGTAAACGTTGATTGGTGGGGGATGATGTGTTATTCATATATTCAATTGTGCCTGACTTATTTTTTTGAAAGCGAGTTGTTTAATTTCTTAAAGTGCCTATGAAACGAAAATTTTGCTATCTGAGTAATACTTTATTGAAGAGATATTTTAAAATGACAATGAACATTCTAAACCAGTTTATGCATATCACTTTTAATTCTTGGGTTATTGAGGTTCTTGCTATGTCCGATATATCTAACTTGTGACGTCACATTGCAAAATGAGAACTAAAATTATTAAGTATATTAACTGATACTTTACTTCACAACGACAGAGTTCATTTCATTGTGACGTGTTAATGGTATAAAATGCTGCTTATTGGTATCAACCTGAAGTTGTCATGAAACTGAAGAGTATTTGAAACATTGTGAGAACTCATTATGCAATATGACGTCACAAGTTTGATAAATTAGAAGTAACAAAAACGTCAAAATCACGAGAATATGCATTTACTGTTTTAGAAAGTACACTGTAATTTCAAAGGTTTTGGTCATTTCAACCCTCCCATTAACTTTCTAGGGACAGCCCTACTCATAGTTCACAGGGCCTGCCCGAAAGTGATCCATTTGACATATCTGGTTGTTCTTAATTCTGTCATTTTTTTTAAGCTTGTTTACGATGTATTCCACTATGACTTTCACGAGTCAATGGATTGGCTGTCTCTCACTACATACCCTTCTCGAGTACATTTTCAGAGAAATAAAAATCCTTTTTACTAATTTCTATAATTTCTGACAGAGGAATGCAATCAAGTTGATGATGCCAATTCACTTCAGGAAAGAAATCAAGATGAACTAAATGGACTTGAATTAATAGACCTTGAGGTCAACAATCTCTTTGAGCACAGCAGGCAGAATATGGACTGTCATCTTGATTTTATGTCGCTTCCTCCCGAACTTAGATGACTGTAATTTGTTATGGCATGTTGAAATACAATTTGTCTTTTTACAACCATTGAAATTGTTACAATGATCATAAATATTACATCCATATGCAATTGTTTAGCAACCTCAATATTTGGGGGAGGACGTATTCATACATGTATGTTCTGCAGAATTAAATTCTGTTTTAAATCCATTGTTTTCTATAGATTAAGACATGCATTCATAAATTCGAACCCTCCCCTCTTCCTCATCAACGAGTTTGCTACGCTCCTGTTATGGAATAGACAGAGTAAATTAGAACATAAATAGAACATTTTTATCATTAGTCCATAGTAAAATGTAGACTTACTCAAGTAAGTTAATTAAGGTTCAAATATCGTCACGTCCAATATAATGCCAATGTCATTAATAGGAAAGTACATACAGGTTAGAGATATTATGGGGAAAAACAACTTGATATTTTTTGTATCCAATAATTTCTAGTCAAATAAGGAGAGGCACCCTATCTGTTGTAACCAAATAACTTTTATGTTGTCACTAAGTTATTGGAATTGTCAAGGTTAGCCGAGAAGTTCATAAAATTTTCAAAAAGTAACAAATTCAATAACCATTGGGAATAATCAAACATTGTAACTGTACAGTAACTTTATTCGTAAGTATGCTTAACATATTGGTCAATGGACAATGTGTAAATTGGTTATATTCAACGAAATTTTTTGTCCCTCGTTTTGTTTCTAAGCACAGTAGATCGGGGATTCATTGTATATATTAATCACATTCTGCTTCTCCTAGCCTTGATAACTTTCTTATGTAATCAACACCTTGGTCCTTTGGGCTTTTAATTCATGGAAAAAGTGTTTTTGAAAAAAAATTTTCTAAGATGTTGCTATTTCCGTAGAGCAAGTATTATAATGACTTTAAAAAAGTTATCTATAAAATGGCCATTTTCAGCCGTCTAGAGATCTGAATTTTCAAAGTTTTCTCATGATTTTGCCTCCTCTGCTCATTTGCTCATCTAATCATCTAGAGCATATATTTCTTGAACTAAGAATTCCCTTTGGAAAAGGAAAATATCATGTATCACAACTTCGTAGAGCATTGTAAACCTTCGTAAGGGCCTGACGGGACATCATCATTGACATGCGTGGGCGATTAATGTGTGGTATAAATATGTCAATATAGCGTCGGCCTTGGGGACTTTATCTTTTTTTCTCCTCGCTTTGGCTTTGCCAATAGGCCAGTATCTTTAAGCTTTGTACTAGAAATAATTTTTTTCTAGTACGGAGAACTAGCTGTTCTATTATTTTCTTCTCACATTCTAAGTAGCCTTACTTCATTGTCGTGAGTTACATTAAGATCTGACGACGCATTTCACCAAAGCAGGGGCCGCGGAAGTATCTCAAAAGTGGGGGGGCACTGACCGAAAAGGGCATGTGAGTTTGTAGCTTACTGTTTTAGTTTCAAAGTCTGCAAAATATTGGTAGACATTCTTAGAATGCTATGCGTATTCTCTACTGCTGTAGGATGGTAAGGCTGTCAGCCTGTACAGCAGAAATGCTTACAATCAAGTCCTAGCAAACATTCCGTTAACTCAATTTTCATAGGCCCTACCAATAGGGCGGTAGTCGTGGAACTTGGCAAAGACGCATACGTTAGGTTTTGTGAAGGTGTGTGAACTGGCTCGGTCGGCGGCGCGACTAGTATCTCTGAAGACGATGTAAAGTCAGAATCGCCGAATTTTGGTTTGGAATGAGAATGAGGAGATAAATATGTTGATGGAGTTTCTGTAGCTGACGGCAGTGTCATATTAGACCTAGAGTCGATGTTTTGTAAAAAAACTCGTCAGTTTTCTCATGCTTTTAGCTGTTTCTATAAGCTCTTTTTCCTTTTCTCGTTTCCGCCTAGCAGCTCTAGGCATGATGATTTTGATTAGAAGTGATTTAAAACGCAAAATTTTCAATTATTATGATTATGAATTGTCAACAGTTTTGTAGGACCAATGGCCTGAAAGACAATACGACGGGAGGAATGCGTTGCCGTAGAATTTATAGTCTCATGTGGATCATATATTTCGACTTCTCATTGGTTAATTAAGTTACTGGGCGACGTCTGCGAGGACAGCCCCAATCGACAAACGCGATTTTTGATCCATCTGGGTAATCAAGATCAAAAACTAAGCTATAGCTGATTTCGCATGATGCTGACAGACTTTGTTCGACTCTCGGGGCTACTTGTATCTAAGAAAAACTTCTTCAGTCCAATTTTACCTAAAACAAGGGCATTTCTACACCATGAAAAAGGGCACTTTCATTCCAGAAAAAGGGCAAATTTTTCCCTGTTGTAAAAAGTGGGGGGGGCACTTGCCCCCAATGCCCCCCTGGTTCCGCGGCTTCTGCACCAAAGTATTTGTATAATATAAAATAATTTTTTACGCACGTCGTCATTGTTGCAGCATGCGTCATGTGTTTCGGCTTTGGAAGCCAACAACAATATTTTTGAATTTTGATTTGAATGCTATAATTTTAAGTCGTTCGAAAGTAATTTACTAAATTGGTGAGTGAACTATTGCCGTAAGTTCGAAGCTTAAAATTAAAACTGTAGGCGAGGCTTGGGCCTGTTTCATACGTCACATTTTACATAAGCCAAATACATTTAAAAGATAATGAGGAATTTTATCTCATGTTCTTTTTCCTCTAATGTATTCGGCGTATGTAAAATGCGACGTATGAAACAGGCCTTGATATCTCATAATTCTCAGCTGACAGCACGCTAAAGCGCGAAAGTTTTTTTTAAACCTTGTAAAACCATGTCTTGTGGTCTTGACTCTTGAGGAAAAGTTTACTTCTTTAAACCCAGGTGAAAGTACGTAACACAACATACTTTCTCTTGACTTACCAAGTTTTATAATGAAAAATAGTGGCCACTTTTTACGAAGTAGTCAAAACCAAACGGTCTAGAAACTATGTTAGTAACGAATAAATTGTAGAATCAAAATTATTTTTAGTAAGAGTTCTTGAAAAGTTTCATGACTTTTTGATAAATTATGGCAAAATTTCAAAAGTCCAAATGTAAGTCAAGTGTGAGTTGCCAAAGTCTTTGCAATTCTATTATTCCTGCATTAGTTTTGCGAATTCAGATTCAAATTCCGAACAACTCCGTAGTCCGTACTAAAGCAGCAGAAAGTGAAACGTTTTCACAAATTATGTATTTTAAGCTGTGAACAAGCGATTTATTGGTCTGTAACTAAGATAACATGAACAGGAGAGTCGGGGGCATACCATTACTTCGTCTATTATCAAGCAATGAATTGAGTAAAATTCAACGTCCTTTCAAATAGTGTATACTCTTGTGCTATTGTGCTCCCCCCTCTCTCCTTGATCAAGCTTTCCTCATGAAGGAGTGGGTTGTTAGGTCAGTTTCAAACGCAGAAATTTACATCAACCGAATGCATTGAAAATAAAAGAATTTGAGATAAAACTCCTCGTCATCTTTTGTTTTAAATGGTTTTACTGTATGTAAAGTTCAGGTATTTGAATCTTTGGTAGCGCACTATCTGTCTGAAGTAAATGCAAACACTTGAGTAACAGAGTTTGAATGAATAAGAATAAATCAGTGTAGCTTGTTCCCAATGCGACTTTAGACGCAGCAGGATTAAGGGACTGTTCACATGAGCCAGGTAACCGGGATACAGGGAAGCGTTAAATCATTTTGGCAAATGAAAAAGATCAAGTACTTCACAAGAAAAACCTTTTTTGAGCAATTTCTCTATTCTCTGACTTTGCAAATTTACAAAACCTTTGAAAATCAAAAGAAATAATTTAGTCTTATTTGAAAATTGAAACTAAATGACTTACGACGCTTAAGAAGGTTGTAAATTTTGCACTTAAACTTTTTACTCCTTTCACTTCCTAAAAATTATTTCACGCCTCGCTAAATCCCGGTTACTCGGGCTCATGTGAACAGAACCTTAACTAAAAGTTTTTTATGGCTACCTGAAAAAAGAACAAATATACAGGTATAAATTATATTCTGTAGAACCAACGTAATTAATCTTGTCGTAGCATAAAACCACAGTATATAGAACATAGATTAGAGCCACTCCATTCAATTTTTTTGTGCCACGCGTATCTCATTGCGCATGTGATTATCATAGTGGCAGCCAGTCAATTGCTTTTTTGACAAATAGTTGAACTGAGCTGGCAAATAACAGCCAGTAATCGAAATAGACAGCAGCAAGTTGCACAGCAAAGAGGACCTACTGTATATTCGCAATACTGTGATAAAACAATGGAACATGTCGTGCATCGCAGCTTAAATATTCAGTAGCGTTGTGAGATGAGTGCTTTATACTGTCTTGCACTGGAGTGGGACAACGAATGATCGATTACTGAATACTAAATCTAATGAGTCCAAAGCAGTAGTTCATCACGTTGTTGTTGATAAATTGAATGGTTATAAATGTCCTGCTCTATTTGATACGGGGGTGGGAAGCTCTACGCGTCCTCAAAACATTCCTCGATGTTTTTAAGCAACAACTTAATAAGAGGGAAATCCGATCGGTTGAGCTGACTTTTGGCACAATCACAAAATTGGTAGGAATTTGTCAGATAAAAATGACTGACGTAAAAGAGGAATTTCAAGCTCAAACAGAAGTAACACGAGAAACAAAAAGGGAACTTTTAATACTTGACAATCCAAAGTTTGCAAAATAAATTTCAGAATACACGCATCTAAGTGGCATAAGCATGAATGATGATGACGACAAAGGAAAACTCCCCGTATGTTTAATGTTAGGGCGGGGAATTACTCAAAAATTAAAATCGTGTCAAAGTTAAAAGTTGGATCCCCAGTAGAGCTTGTCGCAGAGCTCACAAAAGTAGGATGGACAATCATGTCACTGGGGGAAGAGGTTAACCTTAATAAACTGCTTTTTACCCAAGTACATCACGAAGAGTACGAACAACTATGTAGGTTAGATGTTCTTGGACTCGAGGACTCTCAAACCAATGATCAGCAGAATGTGTACAGTGTGTTTAAAGAGCAGCTGCAGAGAAGTGAAGAAGGTTGGTATAAGACAGGACCACCCTGGAAGGGAAATCATCCACCGTTACCCAACAACAAATGAGGGAATATTAGAAGTTTAAACAGTTTGACTAAAAAGCAAGAGAAACAAAATATATCATGGAGAAGTATAACGAGATTATTCTGAAACCGTTGAAGAAAGGAATAGTAGAGGTGGCAAAAATGGAGGCTCATGGCAAAGAGTTGTACTTGCCTTGTAAGCCAGTGAGTAATCAGTAAGCAGAAACAAAAGAGTTTTGGATCGTATATGACGGATCTGCACGTCCGTGAAGATCCCTCATAAAGCACCATCCATGAATGAATTTTTACAAGACGCTCCACCTCTGCAGAATCAATTGTGGAAGGTGATTATGAGAGGAAGATTTCACCTGGTTACGTTAACAGGAGACTTAAAGCAGGCATTCCTCCAGCTAAGAATACGTGAGGAGGATCGGGATGTGATGCGCTTCCATTGGTACAAAGATATAAAAACGAAAGAGCTGATAACATTACGTTTCACCAAAGCTCTGTTTGGCGTGTCTCGTTTCCCCGTTCCTTTTAGTAGGAGACTACATAGGCAAAGAACCAATTGGGAGCGAAGACAGGCGAAGAAACAATTCCTTGGCTATCAGGGACAAAAAGAAAGATCTCATCAAAGTTCAGATACCTACGGACATGTCTCACAACACGAAGCGTGAAGGGTTAGCTAAGACAGCAAAGATTTATGACCCACTGAGTTTAATGTCTTCCGTCACGTTGTTGACCAAGCTCCACCATCAAGACTGCAGTGATGCCAAGTTATCGTGGGACGAGGAATTACCACAACAAATCGAAGATTAATGGTCATCCTGAGAAATATATTTTCCACAATCTAGTAAATTTCCACTAAATGTCGTGTGTTTCCAGGAAATCATCCAAGAAATCGAGCTGCTTACCTTTGCTGATGCTAGCTGTCATAGAGTTGGGGCAATAGTGATGGCCATTGTCCATCAAGAGAGTGGTACGTGGAAGGACCTGGTGGCTGCCAAATCTCGTCTTGCTAAGAAGGGCCTGACAATATCAGGCTTAGAACTTATATCTTCACATATGGCAACAAATCATTTTTATAACTTTAAGGATGCGCTGTACGGATTCCCAAAGGGCAATGCTTTTGCATTACTGGACAGAACAATAGCACTCCATTAGATACGGAATGGTGGAAGTGAGGATTAAAGCAATTCATAGGGAGTCTGGTAAGGAAGATACAGGAAAAGAACTACTACATCCAGTGGAGACACATGCTTGGACAAAATAATTATGCAGACCTAGCGAGCAGAGGTGGTAAAGTGAGTAAAGGAAACGATCGGTGGTGAATGGGTCTAAAGTGGTTGACAACGAAAGAATATTGGCTAGAGGACATCACAACTACGCAACGGACGAACGTCTGGCGGAAACAAAACCTGTAACACAAATATTTAAAACTGCAACCCTGCTACATGACAAGTTTGACGAATTGCTGAACAAATACGATCTCTGGAAAACCTTATTAGATGGATGTCCAGAACAGTAGAAAACAAGGACAAAAGAAGAGTGGTCCATTGACAACAAAGAAAATCAACAATCGGAGATATTGGTGGATAAAACGAATCCAAATCCAAAGTCTAGACATGTATACTGCAAAATTTTGTAAAGATCAGGAGAGGCTGCATCAGGAGAGGCTTGAAGTAAATTTTGTAAGGATCATGAGAGGCGTGAAGTGTAATGGATGAATCCAAGGGGATTTTCCGAATTTACTTGTCCAAAAGTGATGTGTTATCAAAAAAAATTGTTCAAAATTCCCACTATGTCACCCTTCATGGGCGAGAGTTTAACAATAGGCAAAGGTACGTGAAAGTTACTGGGTTCCAAGATTAAGACAAATTGTGAAACGAGTCATAAAGCGTTGTCACGGATGTAAAAAATTTCAAGCCGTTCCCTAACCAAGCCCTGTCTCAGGAAATCTATCTAGAGACCGTACTGAGTGGCGTTTACCGTTCCAAGTAATTGGTGTGGACTACTCTGGCCCGATAAAATATCGTAAAAGGAAAAATATTGAAGGAAAAGCAAGGATTGTAGTGTATGTATGTGCAGTCACGAGACCATTACATCTGGAATTAACAAAGTCTATCGACATTCAAGATTTTCGCTCAACTTTCAAAAGGTTAATTGCACAAAAAGGTCGACGAATGAGTCAGTTAGTGTAAAGTTTCCTGTGGGGTGTCAGTAGTAGTGTAAACAATCCGGGGAGTGCCTAGCATCAACGTTCATTTTATGTTTTATTATTTTTTAGAGATTTGTTATCAGTGCTAAGAAATATCTAAATGCCCAAGCACTAATTTTCTGTAAACTGTAAAGGCTTTCAATAGTATAATGAAGTTGCTACAAACTCCAAATATTGTAGAAAGTTCATTAATCCAAAAAAATTGCGCTTTTACTGTTACGCTTTTCGTTAGTGCTGGCATAATGTTAACATTCTGAAGTTTTCCACCCAATGGTGAGTTGATCTTGAACATAGGACAGTTAAATTGAAAGTTGCGCAAATATCTGCCCTCGTATGAAACATTAAAATTTACATTTATAATGTTTTGCTTGTGACTGAAAATTGATCAATACATTGAATAACAGACTACAGCTGACACAATTCAGATGCTACAGTACCCATTTGTTGTAGACACGCCCCTTAAAAGTGACAATGACATGTATATATATATAGGAATGAGAAATGTTGTTGACACAGATATTAGAGAGAGAGCACAATAGATAGATACTAAAGGAAGAAGAAAAATTCTAAACATTACATTGGCGACGAGGAATAAAATATCAACGCAAACATGGCAACATTTTTATCTCCCATGCCACATTTCAATCCGGATGAAGAAATCGGAGGAAAAATTGCAAATAGATGGCGCACGTAGTTGGCAGATTTTAAAACATTTTTAACAGCCAGTAATATAACAAATAGAACTCGGCAACGGGCTTTACTTCATTATCAAGCAGGACCCCGAATTCGAGAGATATTTCGACAATTTCCAGACCCGGGAGAAGATGATAATTTTGCTAAAGCGGAAATACTTCTTACGGAGTATTTTGAACCACAGAAAAATCGGTTATATGAAGTTTACAAATTTCGACAAGCAAAGCAAGTAGAGTCCGAAACAATCGACCAATTTCATACAAGACTGCGCTCATTATCTAAAAACTGTGAATTTGCTGATGTAGATTTTGAGATAATGGTTCAAATTGTTATTGGTGGACGATCCAGTCGTGTACGAAAACAAGCATTAAGAGATCCTAAATATACCTTAAAAGATCTGTTGCTTGAAGCAAGGCGTGATGAAACAAGTAAAGTACAAGCGGCGGACATCGAAGAGCACTTGGACAGCCACGTTTTACATACACTAAAAAAACCTACAAATAAAAACTCCCAAGCCGATAAACCACAGAAGATATGCTTTTACTGTGGAGGTAACTACCCCCATTTAGACAAACCGTGCCCAGCGAAGAACAAAACATGCGCCAAATGCGGGAAGTTAAATCATTTTGCAAGCCAATGTCGCAGCCGAAACTCGCAGAAAATGAAAACATCCGCTAAACCACGCCAAGACATACGACCGGTAAAGGCTGATGAGGAGAAAGATAGCAGCAGCGACAATAATTCGGAATACTGTTATGCGGTTTGTAACAACAACAAGCCTAAACGTCCTGAAACGTCAATATCTCTCAACGGACTATATGTCAGAATGACAATTGACACTGGCTCAAGCATAAATATAATCGACAAGAAGACTTTCCGGAAATTTCGAAATACTGAGCTTGAACCCACATCCGTGAAAGCATACCCGTTTAACTCAAAAACGCCAGTCAAGATGGAAGGGAAGTTTCGTGTTCTTGCGGAGTCAAAACACAAGTTCACAGTTGCTACTATATATGTGACATCAGACGATGGCGGCTGTTTACTCAGCTCGGAAACAGCGCAAGAACTTGGACTTGTAAGCATAAACTTGAACAAAATTAACACATCGCCAGAAAACTCAACACTTACAACAAAGGATACAAAGCTACATCACATTTTGGACAAACATGCACCTGTCTTTGACGGACTTGGGAAGTTAAAAAATAAACAAATTAGACTAGCAATTGATGACTCCGTGCTCCCGGTTGCACAACCACAGCGACGAACACCGTTCCACCTACGCCTGAAAGTGGAAAGTGAAATACACAGATTAGAGAACGATGACATCATAGAGAAAATACCTGAAGGCATGCCCACTGACTGGGTCTCTCCGGTGGTGATTGTTCCCAAGCGTGATGGTAACATTCGATTGTGTGTTGATATGCGGATAGCAAATACGGCTATCAAACGAACCAGACATCCAATACCAACTGTGGAAGCTGCATCCATGGAACTCAATGGAGCACGTATATTTTCAAAGCTTAATCTTGCTCAGGCATACCACCAACTAGAGCTATGTCCAGCATTCCACAGCATCACAACATTCTCAACTCATTACGGTCTCTATCGTTATAAGCGATTAAACTATGGAACTAATTCCGCAGCTGAATTATTTCAACATAAACTGCAGGAAACATTGCTAGGAATTAAAGGGGTCAAGAACATTGCTGACGACATAATCGTATTTGGAAGTAATAGAGCAGACCATGACCGTGCACTGGATGAAGTTCTTACCCGATTACAAGATCACAATCTCACACTTAATTGCCAAAAGTGCAAGTTCCTGAAGAAGAACCTTGAGTTTTTTGGGTTATTATTCTCAGAACATGGGGTCTGCCCGGACCCAAAAAAAGGTAGAAGCTTTCGTTAAAACTACAATACCCACAACGGTCAGCGAAGTGAGAAGCTTACTGGGGATGGCAAATTACAGCGTTAAGTTTATTCAAAATTATGCTACCATTACAGAACCCCTTCGAAAACTAACACGTAAGTGTGCGCGCTTTGCATGGACGTGGGAACACCAAGCAGCTTATGACAAGTTAAAAAATGCACTAACCAACAGTCCAGTTATGAGTCATTTTGATACATCAAAAGAAACGTCGGTATTAGTTGATGCGAGCCCAGTTGGCTTATCAGCCATATTAACACAAAGAGATCCTAAAACAAACGCCGATAACGTGATCTGCTATGCTAGTCGGGCTCTTTCGTCAGTAGAACAATGATATTCGCAAACTGAAAAGGAGGCCCTTGCTATCGTGTGGGGTATCGAACACTTTCACATCTACCTATTTGGGGCATCGTTTACCCTGATTACTGATCACAAACCATTACAACTTATCTATAATAATCCTCGGTTTAGACCTCCCGCCAGGATTGAGCGATGGTTATTGAGACTTCAACAATACAATTTTCAAGTCATTTAAAGACCAGGTGACACGAACCCTGCAGACTTCTTATCCAGACACCCACAATTACAGACTCCCAAACGCAACATCGCCGAAGAATACATCACGTTTGTCACGACAAATGCAGCTCAAAATGCCATATCAATTGAAGTCATCAAAGAACATACGACCAAAGACATAAGTCTTCAGGCGGTAAGAACAGCGGTCGAGTCGGGTGATTGGAGCAATCAGTCTGTGAAACCAATTCTTAGCATCAAAGATGAAATATCTGTGGACAACACGAATGGCATACTCCTACGAGGAACGCGGATTATCATTCCAACAACCCTAAAAACAAGCGTTGTGAAGCTGGCCCACGAAGGCCACCAAGGAATAGCCAAAACTAAAGCTTTGTTACGCCAATACGCCTGGTTCCCTAATATGGACAAGGCCGTCAAGGATGAAATTGAAGCCTGTCTACCATGTCAAGTAAATGGGTCAACCAGCCCACCAGAACCATTAGCAAGTCCAGAAATGCCAGAGTGCCCTTGGCAAACCATCCATGCTGACTTCTATGGTCCGCTCCCTACTGGACAATATATCATCGTGCTGATCGATAAGTATTCGCGATACCCAGAAGCCGAAATAATCTCAAGTACCTCCGCCAAAGCACTGATCCCTAAAATAGATGCTATTTTGCAAGGCATGGAATCCCATTAAAGTTCAAATCTGACAACGGTCCACCGTTCAACAGTAAGGAATTCTCCAAATATCTACATAAACTTGGGGTGAAGCACGAGACATCAATCCCGGAGTGGCCGCAAGGAAACTCAGAGGCCGAGGCATTCATGAAGCCTTTAGCTAAAGCGATCAAAACAGCCCGTGCGGAACATCGCAATTGGACACAAGAACTTTCAAGATTCTTACTCAGCTATCGCACTACGCCTCATTGTTCAACCAATGTCCCACCAGCTCAACTACTATTTAACCGACCATTGAGAGGTATCCTACCAATGCTAAACCCCAAGGACAAAGTGCTAAATAGACATAAAGAGGCGCAGGCAAATAATTTTGAAGCGAAATCGAAAGGAAGAGAATTGGCAAACAAAAGAAGAACTAAAGAATCAGATATCAGGGTGGGAGACAAAGTGCTCTTAAAACAAAGGAAGAAAGATAAATTCACAACAAAATTTGTGCAAACACCATACACAGTGATTTATCGTAGAGGAGCTAAAGTAGTCGCTGAGAACCATAACCATCAAATAACCAGAAACACATCGTTCTTTAAAAAGATAAGAGACAAGTCGAGAGAATCAACTGATGAAGATGAATACAACATCCACGAACAGCCGTACAGACACAACCAATGCGTACCAGAATGTGAAGAACCAGAACACATCATAGAACCAGAACCAGAAGAGCCAGCTCCAAGGAGATCAACCCGACAAAGAAAAATAACAGAACAATATGGGAACTCAATAAACCCTGACTTTGTTATCCTTTAAGTTGAGGAGGGATGTAGTGTTGTAGACACGCCTCTTAAAAGTGACAATGACATGTATATATATAGGAATGAGAAATGTTGTTGACAGACAGATATTAGAGAGAGCACAATAGATAGATACTAAAGGAAGAAGAAAAATTCTAAACATTACACCATTTATAGCTATGATCTTAAAGGTGGTCATCCCACTTTCATGTGTTTTTTCATAATTTCCATGAAATAAAATGAATTTTTCCATCTTCTCCAAGGAATTGACAAGACCGTGAAACAATTGACAATAAAAATTTTCAGATTCTCATTTTAAAATTACACTAATATTCATGACGGCCTGCTAATTAGCACTAACGTTTGACATAGATATCGAAAAACCTAGCATAGGTTTTGAAAGTCCCAGATCAGGTATTGAAAAACATTTGTTATGACAAACCCAAAAAACATTCTCGTTTTTCATATGCATTGTAAAAATGTAGTAACGTCATTCGTTATTATTGCGTCCTATTTTTTGATGTTTTATTATTTACATATGAGACATTCTAATGAACGGTTTGGTGAAAGTGTTTGAGTTAACGGTTGGTCATATTGTGTTGAGAGTTGCCCAAAGTATATGACCTTTGACCATACATACGTGGAAGTCACGCGAGATCACGCGCGTAACACATTGCACATGAATAAGGAAGCTGCAGCCTGCTGTGAGAAATATTTAAATTCTTTATGTTATCAAATATCATCCACGTCAACGTTAAAAGTTGGCGATATTTTTCTGACGATATATGATCATGATATCAAGAAACATTCCTTCCATCTAATAAAACGGTAAGATAAAGATTTTGCATCCTTAGATGGCGACTCGAATTAATTTTAATTTACGTATCTATCTAAGTAGAACAAAGATAGTTTTTCATTTAAAAATTACTTAAGACTTTGACTAATGTAGGTATGATTCGACCTTAAAACTAGTTTGCTTTGTTATTCTTGATAAGTATTTAAACATAGTTATTGTCAAACCATAAAATACAACAAACATAAACAAGATATTCAAGTTAGATTTCAAACATTGTACATGAAATGAATATAAGTGAAGCAGAACATTAAATCACTGTGTTTAACAAGATTTGTTCTTGTTCGAAAGTTATTTTTGTCATCGTTTAATCTTAAAATGATCGTTGTACAGGGTTTTCATCACTTAGTTACGTACATCAACATATTTTGGACTTTTGATATGATAAAACTTGTTTGTTGATATGTGTTGATTTCCTACTGAAATAACTTACTAAAGTCAATATTTTATATGTGTTCTTCATCTTTTATAACTGATCAATGATTGTGGACAATGTGTAGTAGCTAAATTTATTTTTGTTACAAGATTTATCTATTTACTTGGATTCATTCATGTACAGGAAGATCAATAATTGTTGGGTTGTGGCTTATATTAATTTATGTATATGATATGTTTTTATTCTTCAGTTGCTAGCTATTTCATGTAGTTTGCCTAATTTTTTTAGAATAACAATCTAACCAATGAAAAATTGTTTTGGTCATAAGCGTACAGATTCTTACATCTTTTACACAATTTTGGATCAACTCTCATAAAAATTATGCCCACCAATTTTTCATTTGTTTTCTTATTACAATGTTTTGTTGACCATTTTTATTGCTTTCATCACTTTTGTTGACTTCTTGACACACACCCTTTTTTAGCAAGAAAAACTGTGGCAGGACTGCAGGATGATTGTTAATTTGGAGATCATATTATGTATGCATAATATAGGCTACATGTGTTAAGTTTCTTTGAAAACCATTGTTGTCTAGGGATCATTACATCCAAATGTTTATGTCACCCCAACCACAGTATAGAGAATATACAGTAGGACCACTTTCTGTGCAACTTACTGCTGTATATATAATTATATTACTGAGTGTAGTTTGCAAGCTCACTGCACCTATTGTTCAAAAAATGGTAGTGTCTGACTGCCACTATGTTAATCACTTGCAAAATAAGATATGCATGGCACAAAAATATTCAATGCAATCTACTGTATGTTCTCTATAAAATTATACAATATTTTCTTATAACCGTGCCCCAATGACAATAAGTCTTTCTCACATCCAAAGTCGTGAATGAAGTATTAGTCCAAATAAATTACACCTGCTCATTTTTTTTATCATAATACCTTCTAAACAATGATAATGGTTATGAATTTTTAAAGAATAAAATTTTCAGTGGTGTCGCCAGACTGATAAAATGTTTAGTTATTCTGTGTACGTTTTTTATTCTTTTACTGTGAAAATAATAAGCATTTTACCTTGTGAGTCTTAAAGTGTCCCTTCAACCAAAAAACTCTTTAGCATTATCAAATCTGTCGATGATTTTAAACCTCTTCCAGGCAAAAATTTTGAATTTGGTCTAATCGTTTGATTTTTGTATAAGCGTTAAATTCACGAAAATCGTAAATTCTTGTGAACCATGTCTGTGATAATGAGGAGTCTGAAACTAGCTATATTTTCTGACGTCATCCAAGGTGGTCGTGTTGCACGAGTCGTGTATTCAATTGCTATCAAGTCAATGCTGGCTGAGGCAAAACTTAAGTCTATAAGCGCCTAAAAGCATTAGCTTTGCACTAGTAAAAGCTGAAAAAAGGTAAATAGTTGCGTTGCAGCCAAGTGTACGAATGAGTCAAGCCTTTGCTCTCGTATGAGTCTTCACACTATGCCTTATAATGATAAAAGGCCCGAGGCCAAGCGAAGACGGAATATCTGGGTTTTAAAGCAAAGTGCGTATTTGAGCCTTCTAGTGCTTCAACACTTTGTTCGGCTCGATTAAAACCAGAGGATTGGAGCGTCAGTTTAGTAGTTTGCCGAATCAAAAGAATGCTAATTTTCCAGGTCTTAAAATAGATGAGATTAGAATTTGTGTCTTTCCGACCATCCATGCTTTGGAGTCAAAATCCGAATTATTATCGCTCAAGTTTCATTGCTTTCCAAGTTTTCTGTCACGTATCCCGGAATAAAGTTTTTGTCAGAATTATCTGACTGAACACTCAATTCTTATTTTGATCTATTGCTTTCTTCGCAAGTATGATGTCAAAATACCTTGTAGTGCCAGTTTCTTTTGTATTATAGAAAACGACGTCGTTGGGCCAAAAAATGCACAAATTCCAGATGCCATAAAAGCTTGTTGATTTGACTAAATTTTTGAAATTTTTTCTTAGAAAAGCTTAAAATCATAGTAAGATTTTAGATTGCTAAGTAAATTTTTGGTGGCAGTACCGAAAAAGTGTCTGAGGGAGGCAGTGTCTGTCTGTCCGTCATGATATCTTCGGCTGTGTCCACGTTCATAGTCGCAAATGCGAACGTTAACGAATAGTATTGTTTTGTCTAGTATAGTCAATGCTTGGAACTTGATAGCTACACTGTGAAGTCCGTGCTTGTATTTTGTTCTGTATTGTATTCGTATATCACGTTGTTTATCTTTCACCCTGTGTTCTGTTTTTTGGTGAGGAAAATGTAAAGCAGATATTTTAAGAGATTTTGTAAAAGTTCAAAACAATTTGTCATCTAATGGATAAACTATACTACCTTCTTGTAACCAACCCCAGGTTTTCATTTATAATCACAATGAATTTGTACCCAGGGGCGGATCTAGAGTCAAATCCGTCGCGCGACTGATATTTGAAATTCAAAAATTATCTATTCATATTAATTAAAAATTCATTAATTATTCTTACTTTATTATCGCATTTACATGTGATAAAAATCCAGCTTTATTTATTATTGAAAACTAATGACTAATCATGGTAACCCGATCTGTTGAATTTTAATTGACCTGGAATAACCGACTGATAAGCGGGGTGGCTTGACTGGTTCGACTGATAAAGGAGTCTATGAACGCCAAAAACGCTTATTTCATTGGTCAATAGCCAGATCAGTGGACGATCTGGAATAATCTCGACCGATAAGCGGGGTGGCCGGACCTATAAGGGAGTCCACTTGCTATCGTGTAATTGGTTCCTTTAAATTTTTGTCTTACTGTGATTGGTTTGACCGATTTTGATTGAAAGCCAACTGAACTAACATAGTCAAGCTCACTGTCTGAATTGAATGTTTGATCGTACCATAGTAATTTTCTAAAGCATGATAGAAACTAAACTACAATAAAATGGCATTTATTGAAATCTTTTACGAATTCATATATTGACATGAATGCTGCTTTCCAAACTGGGAATTTTTTCAAGAGGGTGAAAAATTTATGGATGAATTGTAAATGCTTGGCAAAGACGATCTCGCGAGCTACATTTCAGTCATTAAAGTTCCAAAGCAACCCAACATTGTTTTGAGTTTTATCAGCAGAAATTTACATCCAAAATTGTAAGTAAAGGACAAGTGAAGTGTATGCATGAATGTATTATATCAAAGTCAATTTATGCGAGTGTGTGATGCGATTTATGTTAATATGGCGTATGGTAAGCAGATTGATGTTTCTAAAATTGTTGTTTGCCGAAGGACTTTTAGCTATGATTTCTTTAGTGCTTGGGGAATCGTGGCCGTTATATGGCAGCAAAATCCTACATTCCTGCAAATATATTTCAATGGACAAAAAAATCTGTAGCCATAAGGCGCCATACTATTATTTACTTTGACATAAACAAATGTTTGGGCTTTTCAGTTTATGATCATTGATCATTCAATCATTAGACAGTTATACTACATATTGTTTAAGATTTGAGAAAACTAAAATTGATTACATGAGAAGCTGTTTACTATAACCTGTGATTTTGAGTCTTCTGATCCATGAAGCTTTTTATTTTGACAATTTGACTGGAATGGTATTAAACGTGAGTATTTCACATTCATGAAATGTTGTCCCATGTCACATATTGTCCCCTTTTCTAACTGAACACCTCATGTAGAGATGTAAAGGTGTGTTAATCTATGGCTCATACCAGATTGTTTGCCATAAATTCCAAAGGGTTATTGATATATGAAAAGCATTTTCTATGGAGT